TTTTTGTTTTCTTTTCTTTGTAATTTTTTCTTTTATATTCCCTTTCATATTTGTTTTCTTTTTATATATTCTTCTTTTTTTCTTTTTGTTTTTGTCATTTTTGTTTTATCTGTATTTTTTTTTGTTTCTTACCCCATTTGTTCTATACTCTTTTGAAGAAGAAAAAATATTAAGAAAAAGGCAATCTTGACAAAGCTAGCAATAAGCTTTTAGTGATTTTTTCGAGGAGTAATCTAGCAAGTTAGATGCTGAAAATGAATGAATTATTGCTGTGACAAATCACACTTGGGTACCATTACGAGCAGCCGAGTGAGTCTTTATTAAAGAGTAGGAGGGTAGAAGGCATTGAGTTTATTGCAAGCTTTTAGTTTGGAAACCATGTATTTAGATTATGCACTCCTAATACAATAAAGGCAAGATTGCCAAATTAAAAAAAAAAAATTTTAAATTATTAATGATTTTTTAAAAAATCCAGTTTTTGTTTTGATTTCACATTACAACTAATCTTAAAATTTGATTGGCTTTATTAAATGTAGTTACAGTAGCCGTGGTTACAAATATATTAATCTTTTTTTTTATTTACATAAAGATAAAGCGAAAACTCAAACAAAACAAATCTTCTAAAGCTAAATAATTTTAAATTTTTCAGTAAAAACATGTTTTTAGCTTGAAAATTCTGTTAAAAATTGTTAAATGCAGAGTTATTTTTGTATAATCGAAATATATTCAATAAAAAAAATTTTTAATAAAATATTTTTTATAATAAAATTATATATATATATTTTTTTTTAAACTTCAATGATTTTGTCATTAACTTTTATTAGTATATTTAATCGAACAATACATATATATTACATATATTTAACTATCTAACTAAATAGTTACTATAACCTTATCTGGCTATCTTATATAGCACCCAGATACAACTATCTATACTATTTTATATGTAAGATAAACTTCCTTAGAAACCTCTATCAAGAAGTACTCTAAATTCTGATTTTAACTCAGAACCTTAATATTTTTAACCAATTCATATATACCCTACTATATATACTACTGTACAATGTCTACTAGTTATAATCTATATCTTATTACTTATCATATTACTCCTAATTCATTTTTTATATAACTTCCAAATTGGTGTTCTAGAAGTGGGTCCTCTTCTTGCTTCCAGTTTGGTGTCCTTTGAAATGTTACTTTAGATTCTAATTTGTATCTCAAGCCAGATGCTGCTGCTGTCTGAAGACCCATATTTTAAGCCACTTGCTGCTGCCATTAGGAAAGCTATTTACATAGTTCCAGATATTCACATTATACACTATTTAATTAATAAAATCATATTTTAATTTTATATTATGTTTATTATATAATAAAAAATATTTAAACACATATTAAGTTTAGATTTTATTAAAAAATTAGTTGATAAATCAAAAAATTTACTTTAATTTTCAGAAATAACAAGTAAATTCAAAAGAGTGTAAAAATTGTATTTGAAAAAATATTGCTTGTATTTATTTTAAACCTGCTAATATAGAAGATTTAATTGTAAATTTGATAAAAGAAAATAATGAATTAAAAAAAAAGTTAAAGCTTTATAACAACAAATTGAATAAATTAAAATTACTTAAATCTTTATGTAACAGAATTTTTAAAAATCTCAAATCTTTTTACAACACAAAAATTAAAAATCTGATTTTTATCAATTATTAGTCCAATCATCATTTATAAATATCTTTGTAAATTAGTTACATCTGCAGCTTTAGCTACAGCAAAACAATTTAACAGGGCTTGCCCTGTTAAATTGTTTTATGAACTTGAAGTAATAACAAAAATAGACCAAAGTAAGGCACAGCCCCACATTGGGCTTTTTTGTAGTATTATTTCGAGTTCTTAATTCAGTTAGAAGTTAAACAATATATAGTAAAAATAAATAAAACCAGGAAGTCTGAACTTATCTTTAGCAAGTTATATATAGGTGCTGAGTTAGTATTTAGTTATACAAAGTGAACTATATTCCAGTTTTTTTGTAATTTTAGAATTAGTAAATTTTATTAATAAAGCAGAGCATGTGATATAGCTATCAAAAAAAAAAATTTTAATAAAATAATAAAAAGTATATATATATTTTTTAACTCTTTTATAGTTTTGTCAAAGCTCAAATACAAAACTTTATTTATTTAATCAACAATAGTAAATTATTTTAACTAAAATAAGCTTTTAAATTGCAAGCTTGATATCTCTCGGCTGTGAAAACTGTGCCTATAAGCAGTGATCCTGGCCAAAATTAAAAAAATAGGCTAAGCCGATTTTTTGACTTAATTGGTTGATTTTTTCTAAAATCGGCTAGCTGATTTTATAAGTAAAAATTTTTTTTCTCAAAAACCACTTATAATACACTTAACAATAACTTTATTACAAATACTAAATTACAGTTGTTTGGTAAATGTATTTACAATACTTTTAACAGACTTTCTACTTAACACTAAAACATGTACTTCAATTTAATAATAGATAAGATTTTATTTAAAAATTTATGAAAGTTTTATTTTAAATCAGGATAAGAGTTAAAACAGGGTTGATTTTTCTTTTAGAAAAAGCAGATTATGAACTATATTGGAATAAAGACAGCTTCATTTATTAGTAATTGTATTTCTAGTGTCAGAAAACAAACGCTCAGAAAGAACTAAAGTTCCAGGAATATATAATAACTGTTATACTTGGTGTGCTATTAAAGGAAGACTTGATCTATTTTCATGCCAAAAGGTTAATAGATTATTTTTTTCATAAAAAGAATCAGAAAGATCATACTTAGCCATTTTAGGCATATTAAAATAAACTTTTAGTTCATTTTCAACAGGGCACGACTAGTGGGTAGTTTCTTTGAATAGTGAGCTCAATAAAAAAGTAGGTAAATTATTGTTAGGTAAAAAAATAATTATTATTTTTTATATCTTCCATCATTCTATATTTTAATTCATCTTTTGTTGATTCAAATTTTGCTAGCTCAAAATTTAAATCTTTAAATCTTGGATCCAACATAGATGCAACATATCCTTCTGGCCTGGGTTCTTCCCAACATTCACTAAATGGAATCTTTGCTAGGAAAATGACCCTATAAGCTATTGTTACACAAGATTTTTATTAAGAAAAACATAATAAATCTATTTTTAGAAAAAAAAATTCTAGCAAAGATCCCAAATAATAGCTCAATTTCATTATGTACTTTACAAATAATTGAATATGTGAGAGTTTCTTCTTTTCAATATAAATGTTCTTGCAAAATTCTGACTAATAGTAATATCATTAAAAGAGTAAAGTAATAGTCTCTACTTACAATAGTTGTAACATGTACAAATGGACCTAGCAATTCAACCAACTCCTAGACTCCTAGCAAATCATCATCATCAAGAAGTAATTCTTCAAGTGCTTTAGCATTATTTCTAATGTCACTTTCTTTATCCTTTGCAAAATCTTTTTGGAGCTTTTCTATTGCTTCATAAAGTACAAGTAGCTAACTTAGTAAGAGATATGTGAAATTCCACCTGGTTGTGATATTATTTGAAATTAGATCCAAAACTGAAATATCTTTATTATTGGTTAATGGGTTTTTTGCTTTAAATAATTCAAGTTGTATTGATTGTAATTTTTCTCTATATTTGTCTTTTCCAGCAACAAATGTATTTAGAGCTTTGGCACGTTTTATAAGATCAGCTGTATACTTTAAACCATCTCTAACTCCAAGCTGAATGGTATGAGTAGTGTATCAAATATGTAAGGTTCCAATATTTTTTAAAGTTTTACCATTGAGTTAGCATTGTCAGTTACACCTGCTATACATTTGTCATTTAAATTCTATTTAGCTAATTCTCTTCTTAAACAATCTTCGATATGTTTAAATGTATGCGGATATGGAAAACTTTAATTGTGAGTAAAGCTTTATATATTTTAAATTTAAAAGAAAGCCAGTGTGCCATAATTCCAATGTAAGGTGTATGAACTTTAGTCTACAAGTCAGTAGTAAATGTGAAATATTCTAATGTATTATTAATTAAATCTTTTGGATTATTTTCAGAATAATTTACTGATTCAAATAGCTTTTGCTTAACCATGTCTTTACCCGGAAATTGGAATTGTGGTTCTGCTTCATATAAGATGTCCTGAAATCATTTATTTGCTAAAACATTAAAAAGTTGTATATCATCAACTATTCATGCTAATATTCTAGAGATAATTCTATTCTGTTTTTTATTTGAAAGTGATGTTGTCTGACGATTGACTAATTCTAATAAAGTAGGCTGTGATGGGTCTAATTGAACAGGTTGTAACTGTGTTACTTCTTTTCCACCACTTAAAGGGCCAGTTTTACTTAATCTATGTATAGTTTGAAAATGGCTAGCTAAATTTGTTGTACTTGTAATTTTGAAAGTATTTGTGCATTGTTTAAGATTATCATCACTACCGATCCATGCTCGGCATCTGATCATTTTGGCAGGTTTGTCTTTTTTCATATAATACCATACCTAACTTTTTCCTAGTTTAGATTTTTTATTAATATTGTTATTTCGTAAGTTACTATTGCTTTTTTTTTTTTACTAACTATAATATTTTGTTGTGATGGTTTTGACACCTCTGTGATTGTATTTTGAGTAGAATTAGTTGAACTTTCTGAAAATTCTTCATCTGAGACAGGTTTACTATATATTGAGAGCTTATTCGAAGAAAAGTCATCATCTAATAATAATGGATTTTTATCTAATGATAAAGGTTGTTGTTCGTCGAATAATAAGGATGATTCTTTAGATAATGAACAGGAATATTCTTCATTTAATAATAACTGTGATTCTACTAAATATGCATATTCATCATTAGAGAAGTTTTGCAATGATATTTTTGTATACTTTATTAAGTATGGTATGATTCTCTTTTTATATGTATTCAATTTATAGTATTAATTGATGTCTTACAACTAACACTTCTGATTATCGTATGCTAATAACACATAAAAACTGAATTTGGCTTTGCTGAAAGCCTACATAATGATGAGGATTCGGGCATATACATGAATACAATACTTATTAGTACTGTATCTAGCATATGTATTATATACAAATCTAGAGACAGCAAGCCTTTATTTAGTTTAGTAACTTTAATATCATTTGATATGTAAAATTCACTAAACTAAATAAAAGCTTGCTATCTATAAATTTGTAGGGACCGCTGAATAGGCTCTATTGTTAATGAGACTTAAAGCTTTTATAATGTATGTTTTTTTTTCTTATTTTTTTTTTCTTTGTTGCATATAACAATGGTAGCAATAATAATTTGTCTTTTAACAGGATCAATACAATAATAGATCCTTTTTTGTTATGCGGATTTAAATCAGTTTTATTGTTTTTATTGCGGTTTGCAAAATAATGCATCTTTGATCAAATTTTATAGATCACAATTCACATGCAATTATTTGATTGTTATTTGATTGTGTAATTGTAAAAATATTTTTATAATTTATGCCTATTTTATATTTATATTTTCAAAATAATATTCTCAGAAAACAATTAGATGATTGTATGTGTTAGCAAATTTTAATCAAAGATACATACATCATTTTGCAAACTGCGATACATAAAATTTTACTAATCCATTTTAAAAAATGACATTCCTACTAGAGCTTGTGGGGTTTTGTGTTTAAAAATTTTGTGTGAATATCAAAATTTTAATCTCTAAGAGGTGGTATTCCTAAAATTGAATCCTGAAAAAAAAAACACAATAATTCATAACTATGAATTTTTTTTTCAGGATTTAGTTTCCAGGATATTACCTCTTTGAGATTTTGTTTTTTAGAATTTAGCACATCTGGATTTAGTATCATCGAGATTTTAATGTTCAGAATATTGGCCCAAAATCTTTTAAAGAATTTGTATTTAAAAATTTAATATATATATAGTTCTAAAGTCACAGCGAATCACAAATTTCACAAGTCTCTGATTATTACTTTGTATTTGTTAGTACTGCTATTGTATCAAGTGAATCTAATTGTAATCTCTCATGGCATAATTTAAAATAATATTCATTTATTGTTCAGATTTAGTGTTCTATAAGTGGTATTAACAAGAATTAATAGATCTTAATATACTTTAGTAATTCGACTAGGGGATACATATTATAGTTTACTACAATGAAAACATTATGCTAATATAAATTGCATTTATTAAATGACATTTTTACTAAATTTGGCAAATTGTATGCTCAAAATCAAAAACAGGTTTTATTGAAAGCTTTAATTTAATAAATTTTTGAATTGTATACACAGTAAAATATGGAAATATAGTTTTTAATTAAATTATGACTTATTCAAAATTCTTTGGCTAAGCCGACTAAGCTGATAAAATTTCATTGGCTTGGTCGGTCAAAAATTTTTGATTGACCAAAATCACTACCTATGAGCAACTCGTCGCACTATTTTGTATACAAGTTGGATAGACCTTGTCAGCTTGTCAAGAGCTAATCTCTTTAATTCTTCTTTTTTTACTAAGAGCAAAAAAAAGTAGTGATTTTATACTAACACTACAAAACTACTGATTATGAAAAAAAAAAAACTATATCTAATAACAAAACAAAATAAACAAAAGAGAAATTTTAAAGGAAAAAAAAAGGAGGAAAAAGACATGTAAAAAAAAAAACAAATAGAAAAGCCAAGAAGGCTGACAAAGTGGGGTGCTACCTTTATCAAGAAGCAGCCAAGCAACTCGAAGGTTGCTATAAACAAAAAAAATATACTATTATAACCTGTGCCAAGTTACAATAAAAATTATATAACAACTATAACTGTTATATATCTCAATTCTAAAGCAAGCCTTAATATATACCTTATAACTACCAGCCAAATTCAGATACCTCTTTAATCTGAAACTCTGATTCAAGTACCGTAAACTGCTGACTCAAGTGCCTTCTATAATTTATACTCGGTGAGATTTAGTGGCTTAATTTTGATTTATATCCAGTACTATATATTGTATATTTCAATGAGAAGTACCCACAAATTTCTAATACACACATATAAATATATATAAAGTTCAAACAATATACCCCCTGCTTCAGTACTCTGGATACAATACTAGCAATATATGTATTCAAATACAAGAGTCAGCAGTTTATAGTAATGCTATATTTTCAAATAATAAAAAAAACACATTGGTTGTAATATGCCAAGTCTGTTTAAATTTGGGAACTATCTAAAGCTGAGTAGTCATGTAATATTAAGCCACAGAGGCAGTGGCTTATATTAAACACATCCAATAGAATTGTATAAACTCTAAGTGGCTTGTGTGTTTTATGTTTTGCTATTAGCCATAATGTCTAAAGCCGGGTAGTCAATCTCAAAAAACCTGAGGTTGTCTAAAGCCAAGTAGTAACATAATCTAATAGACACATTACTACCTGGCTTTAGACATGATAACTTTATCACTACCCGGCTTTAGACATGGGTACTTATATTACTACCTGGCTTTAGATAACATACGCCACACTAGCCACTGTGGCTGCTAGTCACATGACTACCCGGCTTTAAATAGTCCCTAAATTTGAATATAAATAATACTGATCTTTTGGAGAGAGTAAGCCAAATCCTCTACTTTTTGGAAAAAAATTTTGAAAGATTGACAGAAAGGTGAAAAAATGGTATAAAAAGCACTTAAACTAATAGAAGGAGTGTGGCTAAAGAAAAATAAAGTTTGTTATACCCCTGGGTCCTAAAGAAAGGCCTAGTAGTTTTGTTAACAAAAATATTATTCTACTAAAATTTGCTATATTAAAGAGTGCCGCTTGTATTTTTTTCCTTCATTTGTATTGCTTTTGGCTTGTATGCCAAATATGAAGCAAAGTCCCCTAGGCCAAATTAACTATTTTATAATCTTACAAACTATCACAAAAGTCTTTTCAGAACTATAGTCTACAGAGCTTCATCAACAGAAATTCACCACCAGAATCTATAGAGCTAGCCAAGAGTATCACTTGTCTTTTTCTCTTAACCAGACTTCTACTGTAGTTACATATCTCTTCAATAAACTTTATATTTTTCTTAGATCAGAAGAATTAGTTCAAATGATTATCAGAAAGAGTTGGTGAATTTAAAAACATATTGTTAATATATAATAAATATATAATTATAACAACTACAAAATAACTATATACAGTCAACTCTCTTTAAATATATATTCTTTAAGTGTATATTCTCTTTATATGTATGAAAATAGCCTGGTCTCAAGTCAGAACTTATAAAATAAGTGCATATTCTATATTTTCTAAATACAGGTTATTTTTCAAATTATATATATAAAAATATTCTCTTTAAATGTATTTTTAATATATTAATTAGTGATCCACCAGTCAATCAGAGAATGATCATAGTAAAAAGTAACTCAAATTACTATATAAATTTACTATAGTGCAAATGTGGCATGTATATATCTAAAACTTTTTTTTTATACTAAGTTAATCACCTTTCTAACTTAAGAGACTTTTGTAGAGCTTGTTAAGTTGCTGAGTTATCTTTTACTATGATCATTCTCTGGTTGACTAGTGGATCACCAATTAACTAATCAAATTTGAGAATATTTATTTATATAATAAAACAATTAAAGAGATGTGGCAACTTAGTGTAGTGGTCTAGTTGTCACTCTTTCCAAGTGGCAGGTCTAGAGTTTGAATTCTACAAATAACGAATTTTTAAAAAATAGATCTGTGTGGTGGTTCTTGTATTACAGTTGATGGTTATGAATATTAGTTGAATTTTAGATAAATCTGTAACTTCGGTCACACCATCTAGTAATAGAAGCAATAGTGCAATAAATCTGAGGAACTGGTATAACCGAAAACCCATTTGGGAAGTCCTGAATTTGGAGGTAACAGCGATCTTTGACAGTACTACAGGAGAGCTAAATTTGAACTGGGCCCAAGATCAGAGAACCGAGCAATCAGGTCCTTAAGTGGGGGACATACCAGCTGAACCACCAGGCCAACACACTGGAGGAAAAGGGCATATGCTCCAAAAGTATGGACCAAGAGGAGGGTATCCTTCAGACACCTAAAGCCTAGGCAGACCAACCCATCCAGGTTGCTGGCTGGAAGTAAAAGAGAGACCGATAAAGAATCCGAGTAAAAAGATGGTTCCAAATGTGGGTACTGGGGTTGTTGTGAACTGAATAAGGGCAAGAAGTAAGTAATCGCAGAGGTTCAATGGTTAGCCCTGACCCCAAGTGCATGGGTAGAGCCGTGGCATAAATTACCAAAGTCTAGATAAATATATGTATAGGATATGTGATATTTAGCAAAATAGAAATATTCCACCATCCAATGATCCAGAGGCACCCGAAGTTGGGTAAGCAAACTACACATACCATATAGACCAATGGTGAGGTAAATAGGGGTTAACTATGACTATACCAGGCTGTCAAGTTTGGTACATCTTACTCAAGTATGGTTATGGAAATTTAGAAACTGAAACACCGCAGAGAGAGAGACCTGGAACATCTGAGATAAGAAATTACCTATAGATTGGATTGGAAATCTTGTAAAAATAATGTATATAATGTACATTCTATCAATGAGTAATAAAGAGGCAGTATCGTTAAAAAATAAAATAAAATAAAAATAAAGCAATTAAAATTTATATATTTTATTTCTTTTAATTATAATATAAACTAATAATATATAATAATATAATATTTTATAAAAATTATTATTATAAAATAATAAATATTTAAAAATTAATATCTTTTAACTTATTGATCCAATTTGGATAATTCAATTGCCAAAATGATCCTCTTATAGAAGCAATTCTAATAAACCTAAAATTAACTAAATCTGATCTCGTAATCTAAAGATCTTAAATATTTATATTATATTTTTTATAGTAAATATAATACAAATCATTAACAATCTTGAGCAAGAGCATATAATTAGATTTAACTAATTTTAGATTAATTAGAAACAATTCTATAAGAAAATCATTTTGGTAGTTAAATCATTCAAATCAAATCAATAGACCAAAAGTTATT